TTCACAAGAGGCGTTGCTCTCTGGCCGTGGCGCTTCTCTGCAAGCAAAAACAGAAATTTCCGCTTCCTGCAACGATAAATAACTAGCGCAACTTGAGAAACATTCGCAGCGACTTTGACGGTGAACGGCGGGTTGAAGCGCGCGTCGCGTCGCGTCGCGATCGGTCTAACCGAGCCTCGGTCCTCGTGGACGGATAACTGTGCTGCAGTAGAGGCTCGGCGCTCCAAACAGCCGTTTTATTCGGGTTTTCCTTCATTGTTTTCAAACATAAGGTTCCTCCAGCATGTCGGAGCGGGGAGGGCTCCCGAGGACTGGAGGCGTACCGTCTCCGCAGCCCTCCAAACCGGTGGCGATCACCTCCAATCGGCCGGTGCACATGAACCTGTACGCCACCTGGGAAGTGGACCGATCGTCGCCGAGCTGCGTGCCGAGGTAAGGCGCCTGTCCGCCGGGGAGGGATGCAGCGGTGCACCGCCGGATAATCCTCGAGGTTTCCTTGACATTTATCCACATAAAGGACAACACACTGAGTTAAAGCTGGAGGGAATACGATAGTCAATACAGCTTAGATGTAATCAAAGGAATAAAATTAGCCTGGACAGATTTCAGCACGATATATGTGTCGCGATATGAACAATGATCGGTGGTTGAATCTGAACACGACAGTGCGGTAAAGACAACCAGAGCAACTTCTGCTTAACAAAGAGCTGCAGGTGAAATGTTCAGACATGCAGGGCTTCATGTATTGTATTGCAGCCTGTCAGTGGTCTGGAATATTTGTCAGGAATGCTGGCACAGGAACTGTTGTAATGCCTTTCTGGAAAATATCGGACTAATGGATAGCGATTTACCGATATCAGTTTTTATGACCTGCACTGATAGATATTATTAAACTGCAAAAAATGATTATTACACTGCAATCAAAATGCATTTATTTGACTAGTAAAATGACTTAAGATATTATGTAAAACAATATATTTTTTATAAAAATATAAAAAAATATCCAAATTTGGTTAGTTTTTGCTTAAAACAAGCAAAAATATCTGTAAATGGGGTAAGAAAATAATCTTAATTCAAAGGCTAAACGATTATTTGTCTTTTTTTTGCAGTGTATTAGTTGTATTAGTAGTAACAGCAATAATAATAATTGTTGTTGTTATTATTAGTAGTATTATTTCCCCCAAATTATGCTTTTTTTTGGTAGACCCAATATTGATAAACTATAAAGAACTGCATAAGATCGTTGTGAATATTGGGAAAAAAAATTTCCCACTGATGTGGAAATAATCCTAGTGTCTCATTCATGCATTGTATTCCATCCTGGGAATTGTCTAAAATAAATGTTTGAAATGCTGGATTTTTGGGAATAGACTGATGTAATGCTGATTTAGTGTGTCAGGGTTTCATGCATATTCTAAATTGGAAATGGAATGTGGTAACTGTTGAGATTCATGCTTTGTATTCCCATCTGCTGTTATGGAAAACATTGAAGTATATTATATATTGGAGTATACCGATATAGAAGTATTACCCCCAAAATATTTAATTTATCGGTAGACCCAATATTGACAAATAAGAACCGATAAAGTTGGATGTAAATATCAGGAAAAATATCTCTGCCTATTTAAAGAGGTTATCCCATTCATGCATTGCATCCTGGACATAGTACGAAATGTATATTTGCAGTGTTACATTGTTGGGAATATGTCGGTGTAATACGACCTTAGAAATGCTGGTTTAGCATGTGTAAAAATCCATGCACTGTATTCTAGATTGGGATTGGTGTGGTATTGGTTTGGGATGCTGCCATTGGTAATTGTAGAGTTTGATGTGTTGTATTCCAAACTGATGTTCTGGAAAATATTGGAGTAAAGGAAATGACTGATATAATTTTTTTTTTACCCATATTGAAACATTTGTATTTTTTATGTTTTATTGTATTGTTATTACTCCCCAAATTGGTCGCTTATTGGTAGATCCAATATTAGACAACGAGAATTGCCATTGTAGTGAATATAATATTGTTGGATTGCTGGACGTTATGAGTATACTGGTGTAATAGATCCTAGAAATGCTGGTTAAGTAGGCCTAACTGCTGGGATTCATATGTTGTATTACCGGGAACAGTCTTGTATATATTGGCTTGGGATGCTGCCATGGTAACTGAGGAGCTTCATGATTTGAATTCCAACCTGGTGGTCTGGAATATGTTGCAGTCGTCTGGTAGTCCTAGATATGCCGCTTTAGAATGTGTGGAGATTCATGCATTGTGTTCTAAATTGGGAATGGTATGAAATTGGTTTGGGATGCTGCCATGGTAACTAGGGTTGCAGGCTTTGTATTCCAGCCTGCCACCAGTGTTGCATTACCCTGCATTTGTGATCAGGTGAACATGTATGTGTCAATGTTCAAAATGATCGTTCTTTTTGAAAGCCAATACTCCCTGCTGCCTGTTGTTTTCGCTTGCAGTTAATATCGGCTACGGATACAGACAACAAAGACATGTGAAATGGCTGCCCATCGAAGCTAATTGGTTTATTTGTATTAAATATGTATTGATGGAGCAATTGGGATAGATCTGGGTTACACAGCATGTGCTTGTGTTTTGCGTGACATCACGCTGTTGGTATTGACTAGGGTTGGGTACCGTTCACATTTTAACCGGTACTTGAATTTCTGTGCCGGTACCCAATGGTACCTTTTTTTTCGGTACTTTACTCAGTGTGTAATTACAAAAAAACGTTTATTTCAGTGAAAAAATAAGTCCAGAAGTCTCAATTTCAACATTTTGAACAATAGGGTCCATTCATACATACAGAGGCAAGCGGAACATGCAGGATTCATATTTAAACCGTCTTTTTGCATTTTAATATTCACAGACACTAGTTCATATCGCAATTCAAATTATGTGGCAGTGGCTACTTTTGATTAATTTGCCAAAATTGACGAATTCCGCGCTATAGAGTAAATCCCGTTTTTATGAATGGATTCCACGATCCCATCCGTGTTTATGCAGAAACCATATGGCCCTAGAAATGTAACCACACTTCACAACATTTCGGCTTGCCCTGTGTGATTGAACGAGTTGCAGGGGTGACCTCACGTCACAGGGTCTCTCTTTCTCTCTCTGTAGCGTATGCGCCCAAATGCGTTCTCAGGTACCGAAATTTGGCACCGATTGATTTAAAGTGAATCGTTACTCTGTAATACCGACACAATTCGGTCGGTACCCTTAAAAGTACCGAGTTCGGTTCCCAACCCTAGTATTGACAGGAAACTCTAAAAATACACCAAAATATTGATCGGCTTGTTGATGTTTCATGTTTGGCTGGAGCTGATGGCTGTATTCAAAATGTAATACATTAGGGAAAGAGCATAGCGCTCTCCCTACCTCTACTATCATCTTGCTCGGGACTGCTATTAAATATTAATGTGATCTTGTTGTATGTCTAAGTCAGGTGGACAATAGCCCTGTAACTCACCCTGGCTACTTAATTAGAGCTAAAGATGGCACAGTGGGCGGCACAGGGCACCCGTGTGGCGCGTGTCTGATTTCTGAGGGCTTGTGAGTGTGTGTAAATGTGTGCATCTCTGAGTGAAAAGAAGGAATAATGGGCAATAGGAATGGGAATTGACGAGCATTAACAGCGCAGTAACAATTCCCGGTTTAAATTGGACATAATGAAACTAATCACTAACAGATCAATGAGTAAGTCAACAATCGCTCTGGGCTGCTTTTCCCAAAAGCATCATCAGCCTTAGTAGACAGTCACCAATGGTCTCTAAAATCTTACTCAGGCTTCTGAAACTTTTGGATGATGCAGTTCTGACTGATTCAGTGAGTCATTATTAGACAGATTCAAATCAGTAATCCGAGAGGTCAAATGCCCATTCGCTTCACACTGATAAAATCTAACTATGAAATTGTAATAGCTGTTCTAATTCTATGAGAATAGGAAAGTCCACACAATAACGATAACAACACAGAGGAACAATATCGTTATTAGGATCCAGAGTTTGAAGAGCTTGCATTATTAAAGAGGCAGATGACAAAACTGCATTGCTCATTTAAGATAAACAGAACATTGTTGTCTGTTGGTTGAAACACTAATATAGCTATCCTTACAGTTATCGTTCTTGGTTTGCATGGGCCTTAAATCGTTTTCACTGATTCGTTTAAAAGAAAATAACCTTCTCACAAGAGTAATCGATTGGTGGTTTTGACTACACTGGTTGTGTTGTATGTTGATGTAACAATAAAGTAACCAAACATCATCATGCAAATCTTTCTACTCCAGTTTCTTTTGTAAATTGAACCTGTTATGAAAAAAAGCCCGTTCAAACCAAAGATGATAACTATATTAGCGCCCACACCAATGCACAATAACATTGTGTTTATTATAAGCACTCTACAGTTTTGTCATCTGCTGCTTTAAATGCTGGAACTCCTTAAAGTCGGATGGATTCTGATTGGCTGTCAGTTATCATCCTCGTTATAATTGTCCCCCTTGGTGAAAATGGGTCTTAAAGGGATAGTTCACTCAAAAATGAAAATTGTTTGCCATATGTGACCCTGCATCACAAAACTAGTCATAAGTAGAACAGGTATATTTGTAGCAATAGCCAACAATACATTGTATGGGTCAAAATTATCAAATTTTTTTTAATGCCAAAAATCATTAGGATATTAAGTAAAGATCATGTTCCATGAAGATATTTTGTACATTTTCTACTGTAAATATATCAAAACTTAATTTTTGATTAGTAATATGCATTGCTAATGACTTTATTTGGACAACTTTAAAGGCGATTTTCTCAATATTTTACTTTTTTGCACCCTCAGATTCCAGATTTTCAAATAGTTGTATCTCAGACAAATATTATATATCATCAATGGAAAGCTAATTTATTCAGCTTTCAGACAATTGACCCTTATGACTGGGTTTGTTTTGCAGGGTCACATATATGATGCACTCCATGTATGATTTTCAATCATTGTTAGATAAAGTGATCGTATCTCTTCACAAGGCTTCAATGAACTTTCAAAGGAAAGACAGAAATGTCTCGGGTTTCATTAAAAATATCTTCGAAGATTAGCCAAAGTCTTATGTGTTTGGAACCACATGACGGTGAGTAAATGATGACAGTTTTCCTTTTTTGGGGATAACTGTTCCTTTAAGAACAGTTCTCCGTTTCCGACCCTATGAGTGACTGTAGCATGTGTGCTGTCATTAGTATCTGCGTGTCGACGCTTTTGTTGCCGCAGGTCTGTCATCTGTCTGATATTTGTTAAGATAAAAACCTTCCTTGCAAAAACCTCTCAGCATCTTTTGGCAGCTGAATCATTGATTGGTGCCAAAGGCCAGCAGGAAAACAGACTGACACCTCATTCAACACAAACAACAACACGTTACAGTCCGCCTCAGTATGCC